CAAGCCACCAAATGGTGGCTCGCACACATGCGAGCCACCATTTGGTGGCTCTGCATGGTGTGAGCCACTAGAAGTTGGCTCGGCCATTGGCTTTGGTAGAGTTGTTTTAGTGCGACTCGGCCGTCAGGGGGTTGTTTCGGTTTTCTGGGTTTTGACTTGTTGCGTCATTACGCTCTTTTTGTCGTCTCCTTGACTTATACCCTTCACTGATTAGCTTCATGTGTTTCGTTAACTTGGAGTCAGCTGATGAGCGTGCGGGCCACTGGAGGTGGCATTCCGATGGCTTGTTGCTACGTCACCAACGGTTCGCCGATTCTCTTCATGCACTTGTCGGCGTCAGATAATCCTCCTTTATTCGGATAATGGCGTTCCGTCTCGAGCTGTGTTCGGGGACCTATAGGCAATTTTTGTCGCCTACACATGCAAAGAAGAAAAATGGAGGATAGTCATGAATCAAGAAATGCAATTGAAAAAACAAGACATGAGAATTGACAGATCTTCCTAAAACACAAAGCAGTGCTCGGTGTAAAATAGGTTTACAAAACAAAGTTGGACTCAAATGGTAAAGTAGACAAAAACAAAGCAAGTATTGTTGTGAAAGGCTACAAGCAGAAGTTTTTGTGTTGAGTATGAAGAATTTTTTTGCTCCTGTAACTCGTTTAGAAACAGTTCGTCTACTTTTATCATTAGCAGCATAGAAGGGTTGGAAGGTGCATCAAATGGACGTGAAATCGACTTTCCTTAATGGTTTCCTAGAAGAAGATGCCTATGTTGAACAACTCCCAGGTTACAAAAAGAAAGGAGAAGAACACAAGGTGTATCGCTTAAAGAAATCATTGTATGGACTGAAACAAGCTCCAACAGCTTGATACAACCGAATTGACAATTTCTTCTTAAAGAACGGATTCAAGAGATGCCCATACGAGCATGCACTCTACACCAAAGAATATGAAAGTGATAATTTTCTTATTATTTGCTTGTATGTTGATGATCTTATCTTTACAGGAAATAATGAGAAAATGGGAAAGGATTTTAAAAAATCCATGATGGAAGAATTTGAATTGACTGACTTGGGAATTCTTCATTACTTCCTTGGAATTGAAGTAAAACAAACGGATGAAGGAATCAATATTTCTCAACAAAAGTATGCAAAAGATTTGTTGAAGAAATTCAACATGGATGGAGTTATACCTTGCAGTACTCCAATGGAGGCAGCTTTGAAGTTAAGCAAAGATGAAGGTAGTGAAGAAGTTGATGCTAGTCTTTATCGAAGTTTAGTGGGAAGTCTAATGTACTTAACAGCAACAAGGCCAGATTTGATGTTTGCTGTCAGCATGTTGAGTAGATTTATGACTTCACCAAAGAAAAGTCATTGGGAGGCTGGTAAAAGAATCATTCGCTATGTTGTTGGTACTGTTGATCATGGGATTCAGTACAATAGATTACAAGAATCAACCTTGATTGATTACACTGACAGTGACTGGGGAGGAGATGCAGATAATCACAAAATCACATCAGGGTATGTTTTTAATCTTGGTTCAGGTGCAGTTTCTTGGTCTTCAAAGAAACAATTTGTT